CGACTGAGGGAGCGTAGGATGGATGGGACACTGCAAAGTGTGTGCGTGGTTCGTGAGGAAAGCAGAGGATGCCAATTGGCGTAGAGTAGGGCTAGAAAGGTTGTATTTCATAAACAAGTGAATAGTATGGTAGTGGTCATGTTTGCCAGTGTGGCTGATGCAATGGGGAATGCAAACGTGTTTAAGTAGGTTTCCGTCCACCACAATTACGTAGCACTCAGTCAGCACAGCAATACCGTTAGCCCATAGTATGGCTAGTAGTTATGCGCCCACTACAAATTCGTCGCTAGTGACTCGATTGTCAAGAGTTTACTGCCTCACTAAATTAAGAACTTCGGACAGATGGCCTTGCAAATATATGCTGGAGGCTCCACAACTTCATCTTCCCTCCCGCACTAGGAGAGGTGTAACTGGTAATGATATATGGTGCGCCGCAGAACATAAGATCTACACGATACACAATAATGCCTTTACGACCGGTACTTTCCGCAGCTTCATGCAGTGTAGTCCCTTAATGTCCCACTAAATCGCATTGTGATTTTAAGTCATTGCGATCTCGGCTAGATGTAAATGTTGTGTTCTGCCTCGCAGGCTGATGCGCGACACCCTTGCTTTCTGCCAACACTCATCGCGAATCGATGTGCGATAGGTGTCGCAGCCTAGAAGGTGCGCGTAGGCTATTTGTCAGTTGGACAGGCATGTGTGTGTGTCTGTACTCGATCACTGAGCACTCTATTGAGTACACGCATCCTAAGAAGCGGAGCTGCGCACCAGTAAGCGAGAAGTTGCCCTCGGGTAAGGGACAAATAAAGCACGAGGGTGAATGCAGTATAAAGTGGCATGCGCTCCTTCATTTTTAGATGCACAATAGGTAGGCGCCGAAATGCTGCTGCAACATGCGTAAGCATGAGGCCGATGTTAGTGCCTTTAATGGCGGTGACGAATTTTACCACCTTTAAAGCCCAGTGCAATGCCTGCAACCTTGGTTTTAACAAAACAAGTTAAATTCACTGCTATGCGCCCAACTCAATCTTAACGTAAATGCGCATCTTGCTGAAACTCATGAGATTCAATTGTTGTGGTGCTGCATTCACATACCTACTCACATCGCACGAATTACCTGACGGACATGCATCTGCTGATGCATTTGGACCAAAAGTATCAAGCCACAATATCACGCTGCGTGCTGATAGGCCGACGGAAAGGTTTTATAGGCGAGCTCTGGTGAGAACACAAGTCAGTTGTAGGCAAGGCAAGGGACAGTCGACGAGATGGAGTGCGGTGGTTGGCCATGTTCATACCCGTGGAAGTGGGCTCCGTGGTTTGAGGTTGCGAAGGGCTCGCAATGGACACAGAAGTCAGTGTGGTGGCCTGTTCAGAAGCAGCAATGCTGGTCGCCATGTACTTGGTCGCGGCAACAACCGTGGGGTTGTTCGCAACAGTGGTGGTAGACAGCTACCGCTACCACCACTGAGGCTGTGCATGCAACGCCAATTGCGAAGCAGCCTCCTGACCTTATGGCGGAGGAGGAAGATCAGTTATCTGACTGCACACAAGCGCACCTCTTCTTCATTTTGTATTGAATACCTAGCGATCGCCACCATCTTTGAGTGCTACTTTAATTAAGCAAATAAATAGTTTTGCCCTTTCATTTGCGTGGAATTTTCTCCTTCTCTACCACGCGTGGTTGTTTCATGCGTGAGGCTTGATTGCCACTGTGGTTGGCTGCGTATGCTTGGTGGTACATTTCATTTGAGGAGGACAGCATACAGATAATTGCTACACGTGACCAGTCTTGTGGCACATTGTCAATTTTAAAATTGCGCTTTTTGGTGACGGTTATCTGCATCATGTCTAAGCACTGAGAGGATTGATCAAATGCGGAAAAATTGAAAGTGACAATGGAAACTGTTTGCAAGGCCATGATAGCGAGCACTTTCAAGATCCACTCGCTCAAAATCACGGCATCATGGAAGACGCCTAGTTGCGCTATAGTGGACTATGCACACGTGGACATCATAGTCAAGCATGATGCAAAGCCATGCGGTTTGTATGCACTCGCGGAGCGAACCAACATATACTGGAAGGGTGAAGTCGGGACGAGACAGTGATCACTAGCTCACCTCCAATTCGCATTGCGCAATAACGTTCACAACCCTCTTTACACCATGTAGCACAATGTTCTCCTCATCTCTCCATCGTCTTCCCTCACTAGTTTCCT